CAGCTGTCGCAAATGGTCACGGAAAGCACGTCTCTAATTTGGTCCAGGATGGTGTCAAACGTCCGAAGTTGGAAGCATTTGCTGTCCCGGTCATCGGAAACAACGTCCAACACAAGGATAAGTTGACGGTGGCAGTAGACATGAAGAACGCAGCGCCGTCGAGAGCTTTAGTTCAGCAGCACCAGTCGTTGAAAACCGCTTCTGATTCTGCCAGTTTACCGCAAGCGGCGAAGATCGACGCTGATCAGAGCTTCAGTCAGAATTTTCAACAAACACCGGAGGTCCCTCTGCAGGAGCAAGCAAAGTCTATCGTTTATAACGGGCAAATGATTGACCTGGAAACGCTTGGTGTGTCTGAGGCAGAATTCCGAAGAATGTTTCCTTCCGCTGAAGGCACGTTTGTTGTGAAAGGTGAGGATTACTATTTGTGATGCTTAAGTCTAACCGCCATAACTATAAAGCGGATAATATTTTGACATACTTAACATTTTAGCATATGCGTGTGCGACAGGTATTTCAAAGTGGTACCTTCAAATTTTGTTCCTTTTCGCCAAGGAGCCTCACATTCAGTGGCATTTAAATCAGTCATTGACAAAGTTATGACATTAACAGCAAATTGACAAATTTCGCATTTCTGAAATGAACTAACTATAAAAACGACCCCAACTGAGAGTAAGACGGAAAGTTCAACACATCCGAATCATAATTTTAAGCCAATCGTTGTCAAGAGTGGATCAAACTGGCGCTTGTTCATGGATGCATGAAGTCTCCGTGTGCGCCAATCTTTGTTTTGTCTGATCTAAGAGAGAAGTCCTTGATTTCTTTATACATTGGGCTGATCGATCAAAATCTCTACTGTTGTTGATGCTGTTAAACTTGCAACAGTAGCAAGAGCTTTTTAGCTATTGACCTGATATGGAGGTTTAAAGATGAGGAGCGTATGTCCTTGCTATGCATGAACAAGCCCAATGGTCCTGATCTGTTTTCTCTGCAGCGTCGTTTCATTAAGTCAAAATCCCTCCCTTTGTTGTCGCGTCTCTAAAATAGCATAATGAACGACAGATTTATGCCTGTTACAATTTGTGCTGTCCTTTCTTCGTTGTTATGGGCGACTCAAAGAAATATCATATTTAATAGATGTCTCATATATGCAGTTCCTCATGCAGTGCTTATTGAGCATTCTATCCACCTCCACTAATGACAGGCATGAAGGCTCTACAAGCACAACTTCGGCTCAGGCTAGACGGCAGACAGTGAGCTTCCTGATTTTGCGATGCAGCGTTCTGTTAAACACTTTAGTCCAGCATTTACGGAAGCTGAAAGATAGGGCAGGAAAATGACACATAACTCGACCGGGATATTGCTGTAATGAGGAAGAAACCGATCTGTGGTGATGAAGAATCGATTGAACAGTAATGTAGAGCCATCCGTCTTCATGTCTTACTCAACTACCCATGATTATCAGTACTTGATATTGACCGAATGAATAAGATTGCTCATACAGTAGACAGAAACTAGGTTTTTTTTCTCGATCGATTGATATTGTTACAGACCACGACATGGATCAGAGAGTAGGCAAGGCAGTCTTTAGCTTGTGAGTCACTGTCAGCTTGAGAAATCAGTGCTGTGATGATTTTGACATCAGAGCACGATGC